TCTAAACACCATGGGGAACAGATAGAAGCTTCCTAACTTTTTTTGTTTGCCTTTATATCGGTTGTATCCATTGGGTTATTAATTATGAAAACTGTTGTCTTTCATGGGGGGGGGGGCCTTGCTGTTTATTTTCTTTTAGACAGGCTTGCTTCTATATGATCATATCACATTTGACATAGGTGTGTGTGTGTGTGTGTGTAGCCATTTTCTTTGGTTTTGTTTTGATGTTCTGGAGCATTCTAATTGAATTCATTTTGCTCTTATTTGATGAACCAAGTGACACTTGATAACTTGATAACCAAGTGACACTTGATAACTGGTCAGTTATCATTCAAACACAGCCCGAGGTCTAGAAGGGGCTTAAGTTTCTTGGGACATCCACGAGGTGAATAACCAGAGATGAAAACTAGTTTCTAAATTCTTAATCCGGAGAAATGGAAATACAGCAGTATTTAAAATGTTTTTATCTTCTCATTTGCATTATTTGTACACATGGCAATTATGAGAAATGCTGAGGTCCAAAAATCTATGTGTATTTATACCTGGCAGCATTTCCTTGGAGTTAACGTGAGTGTAAACTAAAGAGAAAGAAAAAGAAAGGATAGCATGTTATTTTCAGTATTTATATTGTGTCATCTCCCCTCCCGCCCAATTCCTCCAATTGTGTCCTAGTTTAGAAATAAGTATTGTTTCTATGGGTGTTTTTATTTGTTTGTTTGCTTTTTAGATTTTTTTTCTTCCCCTTCCCCTTACCTACCTCTCCCTGTTGAGGATGGAGGAGAAAAATAAGCCATATTATTTTAATACTCTTCTAGCGTTCAGATGATATAAAGCCCTTTGGAAGTAAAAGAGAACTGTATCAGGCAGAATTTACACAGCACTGGACGGGCTTTTAACAGCACTTATTGGTGCAGAGGACGTCTCCCCAGCGGCTGGTAGGAAGGTAGCAGCAGGCCCACACCAGCAGCCGTGTCCCGATGGCCCCAGCACAGCTGTCCGGCTGCCATGTTCTCAGGTTTGTGTGCACCTGGGGTGGGCCACACCCAATTGGTATCAGTCAGCAGTGTGTCAACCAATTTATTTTTTTAATTCATGACTTCCCTTTGAAACTCAACTAAAGAGTGTTAACTGTGTGTGTGTGTGTGTGTGTGTGTGTGTCTGTGTGTGTGTGTGTGTGTGTTTAAATTCAGTTTTGTATGCTAGCATTCTTTAAATGTCTGCCAGAAGTTTAATTTGAATTTCTGATCCCTGAAGGCAGCTAGACAGAATCATTCCCGTTCTTCATAAATTGCCTTCTATGATTCATTGTTAACTCATAAAACATACTCATTTCTATATACTCAAACAGTTAAGGTAGTTACAGTATCGGGGATACAGGTCTTTTTTTTTTTTTTGCATTATATTTATATTGTCATCTGAGGAAGAAATCGAGCATTAGCTTGAACTCCTAGTTAAGGCATGAGCCCCGTACCACACAAAACCTCAGAAATTAATGTTTTTATCTAAAGGAGAGTAAAGTAGGTGCATGGAATTTGGGGGGGCAGTTTAGTTTCGACTGAATACTCTGAAAGAGGGGCTTATAAATATTAGGGCGCTGTAGTTAAAAACTCACATGACTGTTTTAAATACTATTGATTTAAACCACTGGCTAGATTTTATGAATCAAAGTCTAATTTCGAAGCCTTGGCCACATTTCTCAATGCTGAAGTGCTCTCTCTTGTGTGCCTTTAGCTGCTTTCCAGACATTCAACACAGGATTAAATGATAGTAGTTACAGTGATCAATAGGTTAAGACCAGTACAATCACTCTTGCCGCTAATGACCTCAGTAGTAATGGGCAATAAAGTGTGGGCTATAATAGCCTCTCGCTGGTACCGCATGCCCTTTGATTCCCAGTATTGGTAGGGACTAGCTACATGAAAAAGTTAGACGTCGAGAGCTAAGGCAGTGGATATGTAGGCTATAATTCTTAACTATTTAAAGCCTCACACTGTGCTCAGATTTTTTTTTTTTTTTTTTTTTCCTTTTCCTTTTTCCACCCCACAATGGTTTCTGGTTCATTTGGCTATGTTTGTGAAAGCTTTCCTTAACTGATTTTCATGACACGTTGGAGGAGAAACTTTGGGAAAATCTTAGTTTTATTATGTTTATAAATGAAGCTCGAGCCCACTTTGGAAGTTCAGAGCTAACTTGTGTGAAAATGTGGTTTCAGATAGTAAAAGCAAAGTTAAGGCCATCAGGATCTAATAGCCCACTTCTGATTATTCAGAGCCCGGTCACCAGGCTGGAGGATTACTCAGGCTTCTCGCCCCTTTCCCTCCTTTGGCTGTGCCTGCTGCTGCCTTAAGCATTTGATTACTTGTCACCACCTCCGTCGAGATGTCCAAAGGGAAAAAGGAGAGGAGACTCAAGTTCGTTTTACTGTTCTGTAACATGACGACAAAAATTGAATAAATAACTCTGGGAAAAGGAGATTTAAACTGTTGACTGTATTTGAGGGTTTAAAAATTATCTGTGTATGTAAGTCCTTTTTTTAAACTTTTTAGATCTGTTTTATTGAAGCATAATTTACCTATATAAAATGCATTTGTTTTAAGTATACAGTCGGAAGAATTTTGGCAATTGTATCCACCCTCTGTGACCACCACCCCAACCAAGATAGATGGCATTTCCATCACCCCCAGAAGTTCTCTGGTGCCCTTCTCTTGCATAGGCTCTCCATAGTCCTCTTAAACATTATGAGCAAGAGATTGTTTCTATGATGGTTTCTGTTGTAACACTGTTAATTTCACGTTCATCACCAGCTTAGATCTTAACACCACCCTGTTCCTGTCTGTTTTCCTGTTCATCACCTTCAGAAATTTGGCTCAAGAATATTTATATTGTACATCATCCAAGAAACGCAGGGGAAAAAAGAAACCTTAAACATGGTTCTTTTGTTTGCTTAATCAAACCTCCCTGTATGATGATGCAACTCTCAAGGAAACGTAAACTTCTATTGTGATACGCTGGCTTTCGCAGCTCCACAGATAGAGATTGGCACCCAATACAGATTGAAAAATTCAAAAAGTTTCTGCTGTATGAAGACAGAGTCGACTAATTGGAATGAATTTCTAGGTGGTTAGATGTTTTGATAATGTCTTCTTGGTGTTTGTCCTAGATTAAATGCAAGTTCACTGTTCTAATCATTGGTGATATTTCGTGCTGCGAAGTATCTTTTTAAAAGGATAATTTATCCACTCTCATACATCTGTCCCTGTTTGCATATAAAAATATTCAGACATGCCCATCTGTTTAAAATTACAGCGTGTCTACATCTATGCTTAAAAGGCCACTGCAATAGGAAGAATTCATTGATGACCTTCCAGACTAGGGTTAATGAAAATTTTCACATGTTCCAGCTAGTGTTTTCCAAACAATGTGAAACTTGTGCATAAACATCCCCCCACACAAAACATGCCCGCAACAACGGTGGAGGCTGTTCACTGTACGTGAATCTGACCTTCAGGAACCTTTTTTAGTTCATCAAAATTAGTGATGCTGAGAAATCGGGACATCAGTGCATAATGACTGTGAAATTAGGAATGAGAGCTCGCTATGCAAATGACAGGACAAATCATGTGAAAAAGTCAAGATAAACTGCATATTAAGACATTATGTTACATAAAATTAATACTGCATTTCTCCCTTTTGCTTACTGCTCCCCTGAAAGATTTTTAAATTCTTTTATCTTCTAATCAGCTATTGTCTGCTGGATTTTTTTTTTTTAAGTGGCACACAGGCAAAGTGCAAAACATGTTATTACCTTTTATTGTAATACCTGAGATGACAGCAGATCCTTTTTAACAAAGTATATCCTTTACTGCTTCTCGCTTCTTGCTGTCACATGTTTGATTAGAAACCAAAGAAAAGTAAGGTGGTTAAATATTACTGTTAGAAGACATACAGGTTTTGTCTTTTCTTTCATTGTTTTTTTTTTTTTTCCCCTTTCCTTATCTTTTTATTGGGTGTGTGTGGGGGGGTTAATTTTTCATGAAATAGTCTTCTTGTATTACGGGGCCTGACAAAATGGTTCTCGTGTAGTCTGCAAATTAAACACAAGTGCAGTGATTATTTTGAATAGCTAAATTACATTCTAGAAAGCTTGCAGAATTCATAGCATTGTCATTAGGTATCCGCTTGAATACAATTTGTGTAACCTTGGCCAAGACAGCCTGTCATTTTAATGTCAGTGTTTTATCTGAACAAGACATCATCCTTTCAGATACAGCGTGCAGGTTCCTTGCAGAGATGCCCGTGCAGAAACGTGTTAACAGTTGCAAATATGAAATGCTATCAGGTTCATCACTGTAGCTGTTTGTCACTGAAATGTCATGGAAAGCGGCTTTTAATGGTATCGCACATAATGTGAAAGAATTGAGACATCTGTGTGCTGGGTGAATAAGGAAGGCTAAAAGGCATCAGAGGAAGGGTCTGTGCTGAAGTTCGGAAGGTGCATTCAAGGTTCAGCTGTCCACAAGACTCAGCGTTCATTGGTTGTCCTTAAAACCACTGTCCACAGAGGAAGGGGATCATATTAGCTTCAGCTGGGAAAAAACTGGTTCCTGTCTGCCTTCTTCCCTAAAACAAAATTCACGTTGGCGTTAACGTGCTACATCTCACTGTGACCAAAGACTCATTCTTACTAAGAAACTGAGATCATACTAACCTAACTCCAGGTAGCATTTATTGAGCCTTCACTCCTTGTTCGTTTACCAGACCATCGGGAACACTTGTCAGCGGCTACAGGGTTTTCTTTTATTTTTGTTTATTTAAAATCAGTGTGCCTGATAGATTAAATAGGGTTTGTGGCTGCATCCCCTCTGGATAGATGCCCCGCACTTGGGAAATTGGCCAGTCCTGGAAGCAGGCTGATGCCCGTCAGTCCCTGGACCCGGAAGGCTGAGTGCTGCGGGCGTGCAATTTCCTGGCTTCCTATTTATCCTTCGTTAACGTTCTAGGTTCCCGTGTCAGTGGCTATGATGACACCTCAAGTTATCACTCCCCAGCAAATGCAGCAGATCCTCCAGCAACAAGTGCTGAGCCCTCAGCAGCTCCAGGTTCTACTCCAGCAGCAGCAGGCCCTCATGCTTCAGCAGGTAATGGTCCTTCCTCCTCCCCCAGCATCCCGTGGCCCCTGGGGCCCGTCCCTCCACTCAGGATTCCCCTCACCTGAGCAGCTCCTTCGCGCATTGAAAAAGCGTAAGCAGAGCAGGGAGGGTGGGGCAGGATGCAACATCGGTCCCTGGGTGATCAGTTGCATTAGCATCCCTGAAAGAGAAGGGACCCTGCCAAAGCCACGAGGGTTTGGGCCTGGAGAGTACCCAACGGACTGAGATTAAGGCTGTAATTGGACTTGGTAGAAATAAGATCTTTTAGGCTTAGGGGGCTTTGCGCTCTTTTATTTGGAAAGCCAGAGGGCTTCTAAATGGTGTGAATCAAAGCAATGTAGGGAGCACGTCAGGAGCAGGTTTAAATGTGACAGCTCTTGAAGTCCCCATCTCAACTCAGGAGCTTACAGAGTTTTTCTTTTAAACATCAAGAAACGTCTCGGAGTTGGTTAATTGTCAGGTGTAGAGTTGATTTTACCTCTTTCGTGTTTGCCGATGCTGAAGTGAACTTCCGGCTGCCATTGTGCCATGGGGGCCTCATCATCGGACTTGATGGACACCTGAACCAAATAGAGGAGACTCGGGACCATAGGAATGGGAGCTGCTGGGGTGAGGCCGTGGGGACAGGACGCAGAGGATGCTACCCACGCAGTTGACGTAGACACTGAACACAGGTCCCCAACACCGCCCAAGCCTATCACTTAGCAAGCAAGCACGTACGCGATTTGCAATAGAGATGCACCAGACTCCCTCTGTAAGGGCGCTCTGGCTTTGTTGTACAATCAAAGGTCATCCCTTGCCTTCTTTTAATTAGTTTGTGTAGAAAATGGTATGTTTTTCATCAGTTCATTTTGGAGATTACTTTTCAAACAATAATGCCAAGAAGAGTCAGCGTGCGCTGAAATTTATTGTCGGGTTTCAAACTAAAGGTCAGGCCATTACAGATAAAAGGGTGCTATTTTTCAAATCGCAGCTTGTATATGGCACCGAAAGGGACAGTGGCTTGGCGCTACTCTCTGTTACTTACCGTCCTCTCTTTCCTTTGTAGCAGCAGCTTCAAGAGTTTTATAAAAAACAACAGGAACAGTTGCAGCTTCAACTTTTACAACAACATGCTGGAAAACAGCCTAAAGAGGTACCGACAATACATATTTTACTTTCAAACCGCAGATCCCAGAGGACTATCTCGTGGCTATTAAACTGTCATTCATCTTTTAAATGATTGCACAACTGAGCTGACTATATCGGTTCTCAGCCTTCAGACCGAGAGTTATTGTCCCGTTTTCTTTCAGATTTTTCTGGGTTCCATTTGCCGGCTGCCACATATTTTATAACACCACCCCAGGTGTACCTCATGTGGGCACTGGGAAGAGGGATCGTGGCAGAAACTTTAGGGCTGCTTTTGCAAACTGGTACCACTGAGGTCCAGGATCTACCTGGGAGAGGTGAGGTGCACTCAGTAAAATTATACTTGGTCGCACACTTGGTTTCCCCCCGCCCCCGCTCCCAGCTCAGAGAGCTTGAGTATGTGGGTGATGGCCTTTGCCTTTGGAAGAAGAATCTCTTAGCCCAAAAGTTAGAGCAAAGATTCAGAACACCCCGATCTCTGTTGAACGTCTTCCTGCAAGCTGCACGGATCGTAACTGCTAAAGGCAGGCTTGGGTTGCTTGTGTTTTCCCGAGAAGAACTCGTGTATCGCGATAGCTTCTACGTACACGGTACTTTGTAAGTTCCCGTAGTGGTCACATGTGCCCACCACCCAGTTAGGTGACAGTATTCACTCCATAAAAGGGAAGGCCTTCCCAGGGAGGGTTTCTGTCCCACCTTCTACGCAGTTCCATGTGGCTGAGGCTCAATCAGATGTGGGAGTATCTCTGGGCATGTATGCATTATCGTGACATCTTTCTGCCCATTCCAAAGTTATCCGATGTAACTTATCTCCTCGTGTTTTCACAGTGGACTGAAATTCTTTCCATTTGAGTGTTCTCCTTGGAATGACAATTCAGGGTTTGATAAACAGGTCCGAATCCCGCTGAACAGCTTCTGTGCTGACCCAGAGGAGGCAGCCACTTGCTTTAGTTTACAGGGAGTCCCACCAGGTGACACCCCACGAACCCGTGTCCCCTGCATCGGCAGGGGGGGGGGGGGCCCCCCCCCCCCCCCCGCCACCATCCCTCGCGGGAGCCCGGATGCTGAGCTCAGGTGCCGGGAAGCGCTCGTTTTACATCCTGGGAACGAGCCAGCCGTTCTCACTTTGCCGTCTCCTCCCTCTGCACAAATTGGGTACATTTTCCGTGCCCTGCCAAGTTTTCATCCTGGAGTCCTGTTTAGCAGCCTGGGTGGAAACCCCTGCAGAGTAGGGGCAGTTTGGGGGTGAAGGGGAGGAGGCGTTTTAATGAAACTGCTGACACAACCTTAAGTACGGTGGCGCGCTACCGGGTGCTGCTATAATAAAAAAGGGAACAGATTAAAAAGTGTCTAAAATGTAAATCTAAAGGACTAACAGTAATTAAAATGGAAATGGCACAGGGAGGGAAGGCATGTAATTGTGAGATATCACTGTGCAGAAGGCTCTCAGCTTTGTTTTGCTGGCTGTTTTTCTAATTCAGTAGGGCTTACTCATCAGTGGCAGTTCAATGCGCGTTAATGACTCTGGGATTGCAGGCATCACTCTGGACAAAGAAATGATTATTGTGCGGTCAAAAGAAGTTCAAAGACAAGAAGGGAATTTCAGTTTTTTCCTTAGAGATCCACATTCAAGAGCATATAAATTAAGCCAAATGTTAAAAACCACAGTCTGAAAGCTGACTTCAAAGTCACAACTCTCTAATTAATGAACTGCGAGCTTCAGTTTGGACAAGTTGTGGTTTGATGCGCCCATAAATCAACATGACAGGCCTGTTTCACAGTCTCAGACAGTGCTCGTCACTGAGTCACATCAGATGTAAACACAGCAGAAAAAAGAAGGGATATGAAGGAGGTGCAATTGATCAACAGAATTGGTAAAAACCCACTTTTGAAGCACATTATGCATGATCACAGGAAATGGTTACAGCCTCAAGAGGTTTCCCCTTCTGCTGTTGCTTTTTTGAATCAGATTTCTAACAGCCTTCAAAAGGGAGAATAAGAATTATGGAGTTTCTCCCCTGTGGCTCACAGGCAATAACCCCCTGTTGTTATTTTGTGCTTCTTTCTTTTCAAAGGCATCAAAATTTAGTTTTTTAAAGATCTTTAACTCTATATTTGAAGACAAGCAAAAAAGGGCCGCACTGTCATTCTTATCAGTTACCAGGGATTGTGTCTTTCCTTTCTGTTGCCACTTCTTATTAACCTCTTATTTGGTCTGTTAGACATAGTTTGGAATGCACGTCTGCATGCTGGGAGAACATGAAAGTTCAGATGAGCTCAGAGGGCACATAAAGAAATATGAAGCCGAAAGTTACACAGCAGAAGGAAGGATAAAAGTTGACTCTCCCAAATTGCTGCTGTCAGAAAGGGGGCATCTCGGGCGCTCAGAGACGATGGTGGTGTCAGAATTTGGGAAGGGAGTTTCCGGGAGAAAGGGGAATACTTTGTATCTGAACCAGGGGAAGGTGGTTACACTGTAGTAGCATTTGGCATCCCCAGGACACTGCGTTTGTTGTGGTCACCCTTTGCCATCCGTTTCGAAAGGCAGAGATGACATTGCCTTCACATCCTGAAGGGTGGGTAGACCCAGACCCGCGGGCATGTCTCCTTGGATTCTGGCGGTGTGTTCACAGTGCCACTGGATGTGGCCGAGACCTGTTGTAGCAATGATGAGGAGAGCCCTGTTTCCCGAAGGTAAGGGGGGAGCCTCCTGAAATTACCACGCAGGTGGTGGGCCTTGTGTGCTACCATGCAGTAGAGTCACATGGTAGCAATTTCATGATGTGGACTGGTGGTTAGGATTTTAACAGGGTTTGAGCTCGGATGTTGACAGATGGAACAAGTATATTAATTTACTGAATCCCCAGTCGTTAGTGGCTCATAATTTTTGAATCGGCAGCCCTCCCCCTCCCCCGCCCTTTCCCCTCTTTTGATCGCCTGTGCAGTAAGACACTTGATCCTGGGCCAGAACAACGTACTTTAGTCTCCTTTCTTTTTTTCCCTAAAGTTGCCTTGAGATGTTTCCCTGAGAAAGTCAGGCCCCACGTTGAGTTTAGACCTAAGACCTTCCTTGGGAGATGGGTGCTCTGTAGCCCCAGTACAGCTAGGATTTAGGTGTCGGCTCACAACTCTTTGACGGGACGGGTGTGGAAAAGAGAAGGCAGAATTGATTTTAAGTCGAGCCCCAAAAAAAGATCCCATCCTGTGTGGGTGAGGTAGGCTAAGTTGATTGTTTTAAAAGGGCCGTTTGTCCTGGGCAGTTATGACAGTTTATGTTAGGCAGTAGGCAGGAGCGAAGAAAGGAAAACAGACCTTTGACTGCAGCGCCAGGGAGGGGATTCGAAATGCAAGGTTTATCAGGGCATTTTAGCATTTTAACACCGACTACTGACCTGTCCAGGGGACTGCACGGAGACCTTTTTTGTATGCATTCAATTGTGAGAAGTAAACAAACGGGCTCGTATCCTGTGTTTGGTAACTGGGTGGGGAGCACAGTTTGGCAACCAGTGTTGCTTTTAAATTCTTTCTTTGGACAATGGGCCTTGTATACTTTTATATCCTGACTTTTCAAACGCGGACAGCTCTCATGAGCTTTTCCTAGGGATGGCCACAGAGACAACAGAACAGCCATCAGTCATTTTATATAAATACACACTTTCTAAACATTTCATTTACAGTAAGATGGGAAACACTCTCCCCAAACTCCAGCACCCTCCCTGACCCATGATTTTCTGCTTCAACAAGAGCTAACTCCCTGATGTTTTGTTGTATCAATGGTATTTTTCTTCTGCTCCTTCCCTCACCCATTTTTTTAAACGTCGTGAATTAATATCTGTTGAAGAAATGAAAAAAATCATTTTGACATGAATATAACTGTCATTGGCTCTCACAGTAATGTGAGAACTTGGGAAGGGGTGAAAACAATTGGGTCATTTTATGCATGCTGTTCTTCAAATGAAAACACTGGCTTTTCATTTAAATTTACTTAAATTTTTGTTGTTAGTGGTATAGAATTTGTTTTCTGGAGTGAAACGCAATTAACTTTCTCAGTGGCATGGTAGTAAGTCTGAAATTGCTTGCTAATATGAGAATGATGGTTTTTACTGTAAAATGAACTGCATGGAGCCCAGAAGGAAACCACCATTTTTCTCCTCTGAACTTTACATCAGAAGGTCTTGATACATATACCGTTTTATGGATGTATCAGATCAAGGTCACATGTTAGGTTAAGTGAATGCGGTTGTTTGTAAAGTGTAGTTATGAGAAGCTCTGTGAAAGAGTTGTATTGTCCTCTTGCTTGTGAACGTGTCTGATGTTTTGAATAATACTCAGAATTAGGAGAACGTAATCTTGTTCTTTTCTTAAAGAACCTTTTTCTTTCTTTTCTTTTTTTTTTTTTTTTTTCCTGGCTCCAGAACTCCCTTCCCAAAGAAGGGTTAATTTTCCTTTCATAACTGTTAGCCATAATGTGGCTAAGACCTCCACCTTGATTTGATTCCTAGCAGATTAAGGATATTAGATAATTTCCTTCTATTTATTGTAATACTGCACTGTATTATCTTTCTATCACTCAGATAATTACTGAGGAAATCTACATTAATTTTTTTGGCTGGAGCGAGACCTGCTAAACACAGGAATGATGTATTGATGTTTTACACAACAAAAGTTTTCCTCCTGTCATTGTCCGATCAGCAGAAAGATATTTATCATTTCGCAAAGCCCCTTCTTTGCAAGAACAAAGCGGGCGGGGAAGCAGACCTCGGGGTTTCTGAAACTCAAGCCAAGCAAAGGCATCTGAAGCTTAAAGTGTCCTTCATATTAAACACTCACAGCCGAGTACGATGTTGTTTGCTAAATTATGAATGTGTGTAATTAAAATCTAGTGGCTGTTTCTATGAAAGATTTACAATGTTATTTCATCGTTTGTCATGGCTAATTAACAATATTAGATGAAGTTTTTCTTCTTCAAAGGTCTGATTTTTTCTCATTTATTTATGTCAGAGGTGATAAACAGAGTAGTTAAAAGCTTCTCCCCGTGCAGGCGGGATGGAGGCAACTTGTCCCTTCACACCTCGGAGGTTCAGGGTTCAAATCCCTCCAGACCTGGAGTGGTATATAGCCTGCCTGCTGCTCCTGTGTCTACTTAGAAATTTCAGAGTCTAGAAGTCTACATCGAAATTTCAGAGTCTAGAAGTCTACATCTTGGCTAGAAGAACTCAGGCCTTTCAAACCATAGGAAAAGCTGCCTTGCTTGTCAAATTATTTTCCTATGGGAGCCGGCAGAAGAAAGGGCCCACACCCAGCCCCTGGCTTCTCTTCGGAGGTGATGTGTTCTGTCCCTTTGAAAGCAGCCTTGACCCCGAGCCCTCCGCGAAACTTTAGTGAGCGCTCTCAGTCCTGGCTGATGACAGTGTGTTTGGAAATGTCCATACGTTTCACCTTCCCCCCAGCAGTGGCCATCTCATTTTTTTTTTTTTTTTCTTCCTGATTGCTTCCAGCAACAGCAGGTGGCTACCCAGCAGTTGGCTTTCCAGCAGCAACTTTTACAGATGCAGCAGCTACAGCAGCAACACCTTCTGTCTTTGCAGCGCCAAGGCCTTCTAACAATCCAGCCGGGGCAGCCTGCCCTTCCCCTCCAACCCCTTGCTCAAGGTAAGCGTCGATGGTTACCGAAGGCGCTGCTCTCTCGAGACTCTGGGGCGGAGGAAGGGGTGGGGTCGTCTTCTTCCAGCTCATCGTGAAGGAGATTGTCCGTTTAAAACACGCCGATACACACTCAGAGGCAAAGCCGGATCAGGTAACAGTGATGGACCTTTCCAGAAGCCAGAGTGCTCGTCAGTGCCAAAAGGAAGACCTAGGGTGATCTGGAGGCTTAGCAGGATCAGAATGCTGCACGTTCTTAGAGTAAGAGAAGGCAGTGCTGCTGTGACTGAGGGAGCATTTTAATCAGATCTTCTCGCGTTTTCAGTTTGGAATCACAGATGCATTTTCTTGAAGGCTTCTGTTAGTCATTTTAAGATGTGTTGTACATCCTGTAACTTGCTCTGTGTTAAATTGTAGTAATGCTTTAGAAATGCCACTTTTTAATATCTAGGGAGAAACTCAGGTTTCTTTTTCTGTAAACGATTATGATTCATCTCTTGCTGTTACAAAAGCCAAGGTTGTTTGCTGTTGGGTTCTCCCTTTTCTTTCTTTTTGTATTCACCTGACTTGGTTTTTGAGGCAGTTGGTTCTGTACCCGTCAGAACAGGCAGCCTGTCCATCTCCAGCTCTCTTTCGAAAACTGGAGCCCTTTGAAAAGGAAACAAGATTTCATGGATTTAAAAATTTCTTTGGAAGAGCCATTGACGTGTTCTTCCAATGGGTGTTGGACGTCAGAAACAAATGAGTACTCTAGCTGTTTTTAGGGCATCCTCTGGGTTCAAGCAACTCTAACTTTCATGTGTGTAATGTGACACACAAATGGATTATTCAGAACCAGCAAGAAGGAAAGGCAGGAAGGAAAGAAGAGTCATGCCGTGTTTTGAAATACAATTCCTCCATCCCGTACGGGGTGTGGTAGATTTCATTTACCTCCTCAAGGCCCATGGTAGACTCGGATGTATGTGTATCTGTGCCTTCAAGGCTGGTAGCTAAAGCCTTTGGTATCTTGGATTCAGTTTCATTATGGAAAGGTTCAAAATACGGAACGCCTTTCTCCCCTCATGGTGCTGAAGGCGTGGCCACGTGTTCAGTAACTTTTGGCGTCAAGTGGAGCCGGTGAGGCTTGTGTGCGTGGAATCTTGATTCTCCTGAGTCAGCCACACCCAGCTTCTGTCCCTCCTGGGGTTCTTTGGGTTTTGTTTATGTTTTTAGTGTTGAGACCAAGGCTTTTACCTCCCTCAACTTCCCTCTTGCCTCCCCTCCCCCTTCTGCCATTACTGCTCATCCGCGCAATATATAATCAGCATCTCCGTTGCTGTCAAAATAGAAGATTTGGTAACTGAGCAGTGCCGGGTGGGGTGGGGGTGGGGGAGCACACATGGGCTAATGCATTTTTGTGCTTGCGAAATGTTATAACGTGCATTAATTACATCTTTGGGTTTATTGTTGGCAACATCAGCGGCTGGGCTGACACACCCACTGGACTCGGCTTCCACCTCTCTCATCTTTTCCCACTGCTCCTATACTATTAAGTTTGTGCACTGAGGTTCATTGTTATAGTACATCAGTTAAGCTGTCCAAAAGAGGGCAATTGGGCAGTGACAAGACAAGCTCATGTGTAATGTGAAAGAAATGAATGTGGTGATGCATGAAGTGTAATCTCTGCAGTAACATATCAGAGACACTGGTTGGTAATTTACTAGTCGTGGCATTGATTGATATGCTTAGCAGTCTGCTCTAACTCTTAGCCCCCGTGACATTAAGACGACGCATATTTACAGTCTAAGGTGGTGCCTTTGTGTGTGCCCAGGATGCATAAATGCAAATATAGATATTTCTCCCAGTGAAGTGAACCACCAGCGTCATTGCCATCTCTCTTGGAATCAGGAGGTTGGTTTTGTCTCCCCTACCCCCTCGCCCAAAGTGGCTGGAGAATTCAGTCATGTTGGGCTACAACACAGGTTTTTTTTTTACCAGAGAGATGATGGCTTAAAACTGATGCCATTATGAGGTTTAAATCAACTTTTCTGCTTGCTTGAACGTGGTCACCTGGCTGTGGAGGTACAAGGACAAAAAAAGGTTGATCAGCTCAGTCTTGGAGCCAGTGATACCTGGGGTTTTAAAATTGAGTTCCGCGAACGGTAATCTGTCACCTGTCCCCGCAACATACATTTTTTAAACCTGTGTCTGCATTTTCCTTTGTAATGAAGGGGCCAGTTGTCCTGGAAAAAGAAATGTAGCAAGGCACAGGGTTTATGTGTTAAAAATGCTGGTAATGCCCCACTTCAGGATATAATCATCATGGTTCTTTTACATACCTGTATGGGCTTGGCTAAGTTGCCTTAGACATGCATGTAAATATCAAAGTATATGA